AAGAAAAAAAAAAGGGGGGGGGGGGGGGGGGGGGGGGGGGGGGGAAGGAAAGGAAGGGGTGTGAAAGACAGAGCATCATTAATTATCTGGAGAATGGGTACTTAAATGTAAGTAGATCAAAATAAATAGATAGATGCTAAGACAGGAAGGATACCACTCACAGAGCTGCTAGCACCTTCAGTGGTTATGAAGTACGTAGTGTCCTAGCCAGCCCATATCACAATTGAGTCCATTAGCATGTGAATTGAATTTGTGGATAAAGTGAGATTCTAATCCTTCCCTATGTATTTGGCTTGTGGAGCTGGCCTGTGACAAGACAGCCACCTGCAGGTCTGTTAAAGTATGGTTAGGTAAACAGAAATGTTCACCAACTGGCTTTTGTGTGTTTCCTTTACATATATCCAATTTGTGTCCATTGATTCTTTCCCGCAGAGACTGTCCTGTTTGTCCAATATATATAACAGTGGGGCACTGCTGGCATTTGATGGCATAGATCAAATTACTAGATGTGCAGTCAAATGACCCTTTGATTTTGTGGCTTATATTGTTTGCATCAGTGATGAATTCGTCAGTGTAGATATGTGGGCAGAATTGGCATCTTTTTTGGTTGCAGGGCTGGGTTCCTGGAGGCTTAAGTTGCGGGCTCTAAATTCACATCTTTTTCAATCGCTATGCCGTGATATGGGATCTGAAAATATTACTGTATTGCTTCATTCCCATATTCGATGGTTGTCCCGAGGAAGATTGTTCAACCATCTATTTGAACTTAAGGCTGAAGTTGCAGATTTTCTCAGAAAAATCAAATCCGAGTTAGCACAATATTTTCAAGATGAATTATGGATTTGCAGATTAGTTTAACTTTGTGACATATTTGATAAAATCAATAACTAGAACCTACAGTTACAAGGTTTTAATACAAATATCTTACTCTTGTTCAATAAAGTACAAGCATTTAAGAAAAAATAGCATTCTGGAAAAATAATGCTTCATCTGGAAATTGTGTCATTTCAATATCTTTCGGAATTTTGTGTGGAAAATGAAATTATTTAAGATGAAGATGTCAAAACATCAATCAAGACACATTTGACAAATTTGGACTTAAATTTTGAATGATATTTTCTGAGATTTGATTAAGCTGAACAGAGGCAGAAGCTTTGGATTTTGAATCTGATGCCAATGCTATTGAGAAAGCAGGAATTTCAGAAGAAATGAAGGAGCAACTTCTGGCAGAAAATGAAGGTGAATATAAACAGCTGAGTAACATGGCTCTCACAAAACTCCCCCCATTCGCATCAACCTATTTATGTGAGGCAAGTTTTTTGGCTATGACTGAATTAAAAACTAAATTAAGAAATCGTAAGTCTCCAGAAAATGATTTAATTGCTGCCCTCAGCAGTTTGAAACCTAGGTTTGAAAATGTGGTTTCAGCCAAACAAGCTC